TGGCTGGCAGTCAATGAGTTAATATACTACGTTGGAGTAAAGACACAACATGATCCACTCTGGTTTATTCTCAGGTTTCCGGGTAAAGGGTTAGGGTTAGGGTTAGGGTTAGTCGGGTTGACGGGGGCACCGACCTGCTCGTTCAGGATGCCGTCTCCGTCCGCGTCCTCGTCGCAGGCGTCCCCCATGCCGTCCCGGTCCGCGTCCTCCTGGCCGGAGTTCGGGACGTAGATGCAGTTATCCTGCAGGGACACGCCAGGAAAGCGGTCAAAAACAGCCTCTCCCCCTCCTAAGCTCAAGTATATCTGGCTACAGACTGCAGGAAACCAAGGATGGATATCCCAGATCCAAGCCATTTTGATTAGGTCCCCAATTGGAAGATCCCAAGCAAGAAAATGGTAATCGCTTCATGCCAATATAGACATTAATTATAGTTAAATTAATAGTGAAAATAGTTAAATTAATCTTGCAAACACTGAATTAAACTCTGTACATGATATTATGTTAAAATAGTGGATGTTAAATAGGTTTGTACAATAAGCCCAAACAAGTTTAACCAAAAAATATTTATTTCTCACAATTATGAAGGGTGGAGGGTTAGGGTTAGGTTTAGGGTTAGGATTAGGGTTAGGGTCAGGGTTAGGGTTAGGGTAAGGGTTAGGGTCAGGGTTAAGGTCAAGTCAGGGTTAGGGTCAAGGTTAGGGTTAGGGTCTGGGTTAGGGTCAGGGTTAGGGTTAATGTCAGGGTTAGGGTTAGGTTAAGGGTTAGGGTCAGGGTCAGGGTCAGAGTTAAGGTCAGGGTTAGGGTCAGGTTTAGGGTTAGGGTTAGGACATCGTTTGTCTTCCGATTTCCTATAGACAGTAAAGTTCCGTTTCCACCTCAGAAAGCTGCTAGTCACACGACCTAATCAAAATGGATGTGGGCGGTGTGGGATATCCAACCGAGGCTCCTACCGGTTAGGGTAAGGGTTTTAAATATTCAATTGAATTTAATTCTTGCCTTTCTGCAGTGTGCGTCTTTGCACTTGAGTTTCTCGTCCGGATACCCGTCGATGTCGGTGTCCTTCCCGCACAGGAACCCGTTCCCGGCCCATCCGATCCCACACTGGGAACACAAAGGAAACACCTCACAGGACCTGGTGGTGGGGGGTCTGTAGGGTAGTCTGTGAGGGGTGGGGGGGGGTTTCTTACCTGACAGGTGATGGAGCCGTCCCTCTCCAGGTTGCACTGGGCGTTGACGTCGCAGGGGTTGGTCAGGCTGTTTCCACAGCTAATCTCCGGCTTACAGCCCTTCACCTGGTCCCCCGAGAAGCCCGACTTGCAGCTGCCGCAGTGGTAGGAGCCCTATGGGGGGTGGGGGGGGGGCTTTATTAGGGATGGGGATCGAAACCCGGTTCTATCCAAGACCCGGTTCCACTTTTTTCAAAACCCGAAAATCAATACCGTTTGGGCTTATCGATACCACTATCGAGTCTGGTCGTTTTTTTTATTATTATTACAATAGTAATTGTGAAATCCGTGTTGTAATCGGCAGTATACAAGATAGTTAGGTAGGGGGCTTTATTAGGGATGGGGATCGAAACCCGGTTCTATCGAGGACCCGGTCCCACTTTTTTCAAAACCCGAAAATCAATAACGTTTGGGCTTATCGATACCACTATCGAGTCTGGTCGTTTTTTTTTATTATTACAATAGTAAAAGTGAGATAGTGAAATCTGTGTTGTAATCGGCAGCATACAAGCTAGTTAGCTTGAAAAGTAAATAAAGTTTCAGACGTGCTGCGTGATGATGTGTAAGATTGGCTCAGTAAAACGACAATTAGGTTATCATGATGCGTTCAAGTGTATCGTAAAGAAAAGGGAAATTGAGTTTTTGGCGAGAAACATAAGTACTACAGTTGTATATTGCTCTAATTATTTTACAATATATAATTAAACTACTGATGCCAACATTTATTAAAAATGACATTTAATTTAAAATACAATTATTTATTTGCTAAATATTGTCGCA